TTGCCTTTCTCGATGAAATCGCGGAATTCAGTGACATCCTCGCCCTTACGAATCCAGCGACCATCACCCCACAGACCCACAACTCGCAACTGTCATTCGACATTAACCCTTCCTTGCCTCAATGCAAGCAGCAACTGCTCCAGAACCTCCTTCGACGTTATGTCGACTGTTTCGCCACTTCTTCACAGGTCCGACAAACTTCTCTAGCAAAGCATCGAATCATAACACAAGAACACACCCGCCCTCTCCATCAAAGCCCTTGTCGTGTGTCGGCACGTGAACGTCAGGCCATCCGAGAGCAAGTTGAGGAAATGTTACACGACGATGTAATTCAGCCATCAAAAAGCCCATGGGCAGCACCAGCACCAGTCGTCCTTGTCAAAAAGAAAGACGGAAGTCTTCGGTTTTGCGTCGATTACCGATGGTTAAATAGTATAACCAAGAAGGACGTGTACCCTTTACCAAGGATCGACGATACCCTAGATCGTCTTAGTGATGCAAGGTACTTCTGCTCCATTGATCTGAAGACAGGGTATTGGCAAATTCAGGTTGATGAAAGAGATTGAGAAAAGACCGCCTTCATCACGCCGGATGGATTGTATGAGTTCAAAGTGATGCCATTTGGACTTTGTTCCGCTCCAGCAACCTTCCAGCGTCTAATGGACACAGTACTGGCAGGTCTCAAGTGGCAAATATGTATCGTATACCTGGACGATGTGGTCGTCTTCGCCTCCAACTTTAGCGACCACCTGAAAAGGCTCTGGACAGTACTGGACACAATTACGTCATCAGGGCTGACACTGAAGCAAGAAAAATGCCATTTAGCCTTTGAAGAACTACAGTTTCGTGGCCATGTTATAAGCAAAGAAGGCGTCAGACCAGATCCCAAGAAGACAGCCGCTATCGCACAGTTTCCTCAGCCGCAAGGTAAGGGAACAGTGCGCCGATTCTTAGGACTGTGCGCCTATTACCGGCGGTTCGTCAAGAACTTCTCACACATTGCTGACCCTTTGACGCAGCTCACCAAGTCGGACGCCCCTTTCAAATGGAAAGCTGCGCAACGTGAGACATTCAAAGAAATTCAACAACGTTTACAGTCGCCGCCTGTGCTGGGTCACTTTGATGAAAATGCCGAAACTGAGATACATACAGATGCCAGCAGCGTAGGCTTAGTTGCCGTTCTCGTTCAGAAGCACAAGGGCAGCGAGCGCGTCATCGCGTATGCACGCCGCTCACTGTCGAAAGCGGAAGTGAACTATTCCACGTCTGAGAAGGAGTGTCTTGCGATAGTCTGGGCCACCTCAAAATTCCGCCCATACTTGTATGGCAGACCCTTCAAGGTCGTAACGGACCATCATGCGTTGTGCTGGTTGGCCACTTTGAAAGACTTTTCTGGCCGCCTCGCTCGATGGAGCCTATGGCTTCAGGAGTTTGACGTGAAGGTAGTCTACACGTCTGGTCGTAAGCACTCCGACGCAGACTGCCTCTCGAGAGCCCCTGTCGGCGCACCACTAAGCCATGAAGACGACGATGCCTTTCTTGGGCCTATCAGCCACAGCACCTTTGCATTACAGCAGCGCTCAGACCCGATCCTACAAGAGTTGATCAACTACATCGAAGGAAAGACCTCCATACCGCCTGAACTGTTCAAGCGTGGGATATCCTCCTTCTGTGTGCAAAACGGGGTGGTAGTTAAAAAGAACTTCGCACCGAATGAGGCAGCTTACCTTTTTGTCGTTGCAAGCAGCCTCAGAGAAGAAATTTTACAAGCGTTACATCACGAACCCACTGCAGGCCACCTCGGTTTTACACGCACACTCCAAAGAATTCAAGAACGATACTACCGGCCTCGCCTCTCCTCAGATGTTGCGCGGTACGTCAAGAGTTGCCGTGAATGTCAGCGCCGGAAGAGACCTCCAACAAAACCAGCTGGATTTCTCAAGCCAATTGAACCCCCGTCGAGACCATTCCAACAGATTGGTATGGACCTGCTTGGACCTTTTCCCACGTCAACATCCGGTAACAAGTGGATCATAGTGGCCACTGATTACCTTACCCGATACGCTGAAGCTAAGGCCCTTCCGAGCGGCACAGCCGTAGAACTTGCCAAATTTTTTCTCGAATCAACTCTCCTCCGTCATGGCGCACCTGAGGTACTAATAACAGACAGGGGAACGGCGTTTATGGCTGACCTAATTTGGTACATGTGAAGCTAGCGAAATGGCCGCGAGCGCATCTTGAGCGTAGCATATATGTCATGTTGTTACATCTCATGTTACATCTCATGGTTATCATGTTTTCACCAGTCACATACCTTCGTCATCCATTCAGGTCCCGTAATACCAAATTTGGTACAAGTGAAGGTAGCGAAACGGCCACCAGCGCATAAGGAGAGTGGCATGTAGTCTTGTTACATGACACGCATCTCATCGTTGTCATGTTTGCACCAGTCACATACCTTCGTCGCCCCTTCACCTACCATGATACCAAATTTTGTATATGTGACGCTAGCGAAATTGCCGCGAGCGCATCATGAGCGTGGCATTTAGTCATGTTGTTACATGACACTCATGTCATGATCTTCATGTTAGGGTCTGTCGCTTTTGTGCGCCATGCAGTCATGTCATACTATACCAGTTTTGCAACATGTCATGTGAACAAAACCACCGCAAAACCAGCAAGACCGTGAAATGTAAATAATGACATTCATGACATACATGTCATGTATTTTATGTTATGACTAGTCAAATACGCTCGTCATACAGTCATGTTATGCCATACCAAGTGTAGTATTGATACCATTATCCAAAGAACCAGGAGAGCGAAAAGTCACAGACAGACAGACAGACAGACAGACAGACAGACAGACAGACAGACAGACAGACAGACAGACAGACAGACAGATAGATAGATAGATAGATAGATAGATAGATAGATAGATAGATAGATAGATAGATAGATAGATAGATAGATAGATAGATAGATAGATAGATAGATAGATAGATAGACAGACAAACAGACAGACAGACAGACAGATAGATAGATAGATAGATAGATAGATAGATAGATAGATAGATAGATAGATAGATAGATAGATAGATAGATAGATAGATAGATAGATAGATAGATAGATAGACAGACAGACAGACAGACAGACAGACAGACAGATAGATAGATAGATAGATAGATAGATAGATAGATAGATAGATAGATAGATAGATAGATAGATCGCTCAATGAGGCCGAAGTTCGCTAATAAATGCTTCGCATTTAAAACGCGTATGAGAAAGGTGTTCCGGCCCCGCGCAAATTCCTCCTCTTCTACTGCATGTTGCCTTTAAAGCCAACACCTGAAAGTTAACCAAACGAAACATCTGGGTAAATTGGTGTGAATGCACGATGAAAATATTGATTGATATGTGGGGTTTAACGTCCCAAAGCCACCATATGATTATGAGAGACGCCGTAGTGGAGGGCTCCGGAAATTTCGACCACCTGGGGTTCTTTAACGTGCACCCAAATCTGAGCACACGGGCCTACAACATTTCCGCCTCCATCGGAAATGCAGCCGCCGCAGCCGGGATTCAAACCCGCGACCTGCGGGTCAGCAGATGAGGTGCGATGAAAATACAAACGTCCCAACAACAAACGCCATTGATTGGAATAAAAGACAAGAGATGCACTCGTATTTTGTGCGTATGTTCTTTATACTGTCTGGATTTGATATTACGCTGTTTGAATTTCACAATGAAAGCTTCTCAGCAGTGACAAAGATATCAATTAGTTGGCTTCACGCAGCCGAGTCACCGGTGACAGTTCTTGGGCGCTCGAACACGACAGGGACGAATGAATAACGTCACGTTATGTTCTACTGCTTAAACGTTGCTCCTGCGCTTTCTCAACAGGGACGAACACCTTGACTTCGGTACAACCAAGTTTTATACAACAGACATGCAAATAAAGTTGTCCTGGTCCGGGTCTTGCCGGCTCATTTGGTAAAGTAATAATAATACTAATGTGTAATATCACTATTGGATTATGGGGGACGCCGTGGTTCAAAGCTCCGGAAATTTCAATCTCCTGGTGTTCTTTATCATGCTCTATAAGATCGCGCAGTTTTTAAAATATATATATTTACATGCGTGACGAAGAGGAATCAAAGCATTCTATTTTCCTTCGTATGCAATCACGCAGTACACGGCCTCTAGTACGTCGCTTCCAATGAAATTTCACCGCTGTGGCCGAAGTCAAACCCGTGACCTTTGGGTGAGCAGCCGGGCACCTCAACTGGTACATCATTATTGGAGATCATTTTGTAAAGCGACCGCCTCGTAAAAGCGTTCGTCCCAGGTTTAGTTCTAAGCGACCCAGAGACTTGCGGCATCTAAGATTTTTTTTTGCGGAATTCGTAAATATTTTTTCTTGTGATTTCATGGTACCATTTCTCCAGCTTAAGGTAACCAATCCAGCATTTGCTTGGTTAACCTCTCTGCCTTTTCTCTTGTTGTTACTTCCTTGCTTCATGCTAAAAACGAATGAGTGTCAGTTTGCCTTTCTCATGGCAGGACATCATCTGCGCCAATAAGCTAAAGTATATAAACAAACTGTAGATAATATTTGTGCGCGCAACGTGTCCCCTTTGTAGTCTAACCACCGCATAACGCATAGATTTGAAGAGCTGAATGCAGCACTAGGTTTCCTCGTGTTTCCCCGTGGTTAGCTTTATCTACGCCTACTGGGACGCGCATCTGCCTCGGGTTTGCAGACGCGCATTGCGGTTTCGTTCTTTTAGCCTTTCAATCAGTAGTGCCGGGACGCGTGTGCGAGCCAAATGCAAGAAAAAAAAAGAAAACAATTCGCAGTGCCAGCTGCCCTGCGATAAAATAAAGCGAGAGTGGCCCCACCGTGACAGCAAATACTACGTACGGTTCCTTCGATGCCCCTTGAGCCACGCGCTCCTCGCCGATATCAATGCCCTTATCACCAGGAGCGCTGGTGATAGCACCTCCGATGGGCGGGCCTCTCTCTTCGAAGTGACCATTCTTTGCTGCTCGTTTCAACAGGCCTGCCTTTGACTGAAAAGTAAGTACCCTCTACATCCACGTAATATTCTACGTACCCCTTCATCTTAATACTACGACCGGGGACAGTTGATACAGCAGACCATGCAGTTGTTCAGAAAAAACAAATGTTTTAAAATAGTCTGTAAATTTGTTTGGCCAATAGACCAGTCTGACGACGAATGGAGCAGTATGCTATACTAATTGACGCTGAGGCAGTGTAATGCACCGTAATGCACCCTACCAATGTTTTTACTCTACTTACTGGTTGTCCTTATTTTATTGATTAATTGATTGATATGTGGAGTTTAACGTCCCAAAACCACTATATGATTATGAGAGACGCCGTAGTGGAGGGCTCCGGAAATTTCGACCACCTGGGGTTCTTTAACGTGCACCCAAATCTGAGTACACGGGCCTACATCATTTCCGCCTCCATCGGAAATGCAGCCGCCGCAGCCGGGATTCGATCCCGCGACCTGCGGGTCAGCAGCCGAGTACCTTAGCCACTAGACCACCGCGGCAGGGTTGTCCTTATTTTATACTAAGGAAAATAGAATGCTTAGATTCCTCTTCGTCACGTATTTAAATATATTTAAAAAAACTCTCTTTCACATAGTCGTAGGACACGTGATGCTAAAAAAAGTAAACGTGTAAAGCCAGCTATATGTAGAAATGATTACTTTTGTGGCAAAACAAAGTCGAAGACCTCAGTGCTTTCTTTTGTTTAGAGGGTGTGCGTCACCCTCTCTTAAAGTTATCGCAGCACAAACAATGTCCTTTTGTGAGCGGGTTAGGATTTTTCAGCTGAAATTGTTCCGACGTCACTTTCTCCTCAATGTGAGATACTTGTCACTTCCTCGCAAGGGCACCTTACGCAAACGTAGTACGGCGTCGAAAACATGCAGCGAACATTCCGCGCTTCTCATAGTCTGAAGAAGCTCTATCTGGGGACCTGGACATTTATTTGTTTTGTGCTTTGCTTTGTTGGAACTACTACTGGGGCATATCTTCAGGAAATTTTCTGTTGCAATTACTTTCATTGAGTAGTGTTGCTTTACATGAAATAGGATATAGAACGTCCACTGAACGAACCAACCGCCCTGCCCATCTTGCTTTAAGCAGCCAGTCAGCTTCTAGATAACAGCGCAGCAGACGGGACACAAATAAATAACTAGTTGCAACAAACAAACGCCAACCCACAACTCATTTATTCGAAACTTAACCGATGTTGTATAATGCGCAGCAAAGACAACGCGCCCCAGTCAAGGCTCGTCAGCGTACTGAGAACAAACACGCAAACGCAAAAACTGTGAATCAACCAGATTCACGTGGAAGGCCATGTCAGTCAACAGTAACAAGTAGAACGCAGATATGCATACTCCTCGTGTAACAAAGTTAAAGAGGGCTCACTGACGCACTAAGTTTAATTGCGCCAAGTTTATCGAAGGTTCCGCAAAAGAGAATACAGATTAGAGAAGAAAGTATGGACAATACTAATGCTCTTTTCGTTCGCCTATGGAATTTTATTACTAGCTTTTCCACAATATAAAGCTACTACAACTCACCAAAATGTTTTCTTTGATATAGGTCCGCCTAATAACTAGATGAATGGACAAGTAAATTGTGCGTACACGTTATATTATTACAGGCCACTGTGGTAGATGGCACGTATACGTCCGTGCATGGACATCATGGTACACAGCTCAGTATAGTCACGCCGGTGAAATGCGGATGCCCTGAAGTCTTTGCCGTTCTAACATCAATGGTGAAATACACTCGGCCATGAAGCTTCATAGCAAATACTTCCCACTTACTGGGAACCACGTCACAGGGACAATCTGTCATGTCACGAGGTAATCGTAACCGACTCAGATGTGGAAACTGCTACCGCACAGAAGCATTTCTATGAGACCATCTCTATGGGTGCAGGGATTTCTAATTACATACATCAAGCCTTAAGGTAGATACAAACCATAGTGTAGGCAAAAGGAGTTGGTATGATTGAAGGTGGCAGTCATACACAACATCCGGAGGGACATAGTCGGATTCGGGAAGTGATTTTAAATGAAAAGTAGAGAAAAGTGGGCCCATAACTGTCTCTCAGGTGGAGGACACCTCAACAGCAGCTCACTAGGGGGGGGGGGTGAAGGATGGATTAAAATATTAGAATTAAAAGGTAAAGAGATAGAGATAAAGGAAGCAGAGAGCGAGGCGCAGCGACAGCGAACGACGGATGTAAGTAGAAGATAGGAAACATGGACACGGTCACAGGAATCCGAGGACGGGACCCATGATCATCCGTACGTCTGTCCCGGCACTTCCTCACCCCTAGGGTCGTGTTATAGGGATGTTTTGTTTTGGGCAGACGGCAATATCCTGGCAAGAGGGCCACCGCTCAGTGCCAGGCGCCAAACAGACGCGGCCTACCTCCCGGCACACAAGCCAGGGAAACTTAACAAGTGGACTATCCCTCGGCGCAGCAACTTAGGTCACGAACGAGAAGCGAGCGTAACTTGGCAAGGTGGGCTAGTCTTATCCCCGTCGAGGCCGACTAGACGGGGGAGCAATGCGAGGTGGCTGGCGCATATGCGAGAGTGATGACAACGACCACCCCCCTTTTGTGGGGAAGAGGGATTTTAAATGAAAAGAAGAGAAAAGTGAGCAAGATAGCAAGTTGGGCCAGTTGAATTACGTTCATAATTGAAAATTATGGGGCACCACTCTGCGAGAGTTCTTGTCGGCGTCAGGACATGGCGTAGGGCGAGCCCAGTCGGCCAGAACTGCGCTGTTGTCGGAGATAGCGAGGGCACAACCGGTCGGCATGAAATCCAGCGAGTGAGACCGTCGAATTCGGGAAAACTGTCAAACGTTCGAACACTGGTGTTTGGAACCGATCAGAGGGCCTGCGATAATTTGCTGGTCAATGTGAGCTGAAATAACAGCGAATTCGAAAAAAAAGGCTTGTTGCACTATGTCCAGCTAAGTATCTTCAAAGTGTGCGTCGCAGCATGACACTATATACCCACCTTTTTTATATTGGGATAACATGATTTTGAACAGAACTATGTAAAGTTAGAGCACCTTTTTTTTTTTTTGCTTTTCACGGCTCATGTGTGTGCGAAGCCGTTCTTATATATGCCTAATCTTCCTTTTCTTGTGAAATTTATTCTCCTCAGACTGAACTCAGCCTGTGCTTAAATCGAACGTTACCATGACGGCACACTTCATGTTCATCGGAGCTATGGCCTGTCTGGCTTGGGCGAATGTCCGCGCCCAGACAAACCGGCCAAACATGGTGTTCTTTCTCACCGACGACCTTGACTTGGAGCTGGGCAGCATGATGGTGAGAAATGAGAGTTTCATGTTAGCAGCTCACAACCAATGCAGAAGAATAACGCAGACAAACTGTATTGAGCTCACCTGTTAACGGAAAAGGAAGATGCTGGCTACACGTAATAGCAGAAAAAAAAGGTGATGCATTTTATGATAACAGGAAATTTTTGTATTTGAGTAAGTGCCTAACTATGATGTGCCATCGGCGAAAATCTCCAAGGTGCCTCCAATCTTGATATACTACTGCATCTCTCGTATTTCGTGCAAGGCAACCTGGCCTGAAAAGTTTTTATTCAATGAGCACGCTTGCAACATTTTTGTGCTGTAGACAACCACACACAAAATAAAAAAGTATGTAGATGTGCCCATGTCCCTCCCTCCCGCTCCTAAAGTGAACATTTTTGCTCAGATTGGCATTTATGAGTCTGTCTGAGGGAACCAAATGTTTTGGAGGTTTTACATGCCAAAACCCTGATATGATTATGAGTTACGTATTATTACTTATTAGTACATCTTATTCGCGGTATTGCCAAAATACACATGCAACTTTAGATATCTTTTTACGTGAATTTGAACTACCAAGAAGAGTAGCTTGGTCTTGTTGGCACGTAACTTGATAAAAATAGCACCCACTTAGACGGCGATGGATTAAGTGAGGTGACACACAAATGTCGTGCTGCTTTTTCTCTTTTTCTGCCTCTGCTTATGTGTGTGCTATCCCATTCACACGGAACTATCAAACGATGTGAATATGTAGTAAGAATAACTCACCAGTACTGACCCATATTTTCAGTGGGCACTACTAGGTCTCATTAAGCAGACGGCATAAACCATGAAGCCTTGGACTAGAGGCGCTGCCTGTCAAACTTCTAATGTCTAACATTATTTACCAAACATCTATTTTGATAAGGTTATGCATTTGCTCACAAAACGAAGAGCTTCTGGTCTCCCAAACGTCAAGAAAAAAAGTATAATCAGGACAAAATCTTCGACTGTTTATGAAAAGATTATTTGCGCTATGTGCAAAAAGCAAGAAAATATGGCATGTTAGTAATAAGGGGCACGCACACACACGTTGTACTTTACTGTGTTGTAGTAAACACATAATTACTCTACTATACATGAAAAATGTGGTATGTATTTACAAAGGAACTTGGTTGACAGTGTTTAGAAAGATTGGGAAGCAATTAAGGGTACTAGCTAGTTTGCTATGGGAAAGCATGAAGCCGTCCCGTGGGCTTCTCACTTGATGAGGCCCTGTCTGACGAAAGCAGATGCTCATTGTTAGTGCTCTGCAGTCAGTTACGAAAGAAATGGAGCAACGCCCTCGTTTTTGCGAAAGGAAGCCTTACTGTACGCCCTATAGAGTGTTCAGAAAGGCTTCTTTTTCATATGTAAACTAAGACCTGAGTCTTTCATCAATATTTATCTACTTTAGAAGTTAAGTGGTTCCTTTTATTTCTTTATTCCTAATGATATGCAGCATGGGGCGTTGTTTCTCTAGCTTTGTATTTACAAGCGTGATTAAGGGTGACGTTCATTGAGAAACTACCTGAAGAATGACTAATTGAAGGCGTATTTTTAACCACCCCTTTTGTTCGAGAGGACCACACCTATTTGTAGGTATAGTCAGCGATGCCCTGTCGAAATGCTCTAACAAACCCAGCTTTATGCGAAGGGCCTAAGGGACGCACATTGGCAATCTTTGGCCCGGACTACATTTATTGTAGCATGAAAGCGCTCTGCTGCAGCTACTTTAGAGAGGTATATATGGTTTCATTTTATTCTTTTTCGACAAGCGATGCGAATGTGGGTAGGTTGTGCCTAGCCGTACACCACCGTATTTTGTGCTTTTCTACCACAGCATCAATCGGAGCAACATGAGAACGCATTTTTCTCCCTATACCCACCTTGATACCCGCAGAAACCACTTGTGAGGACGCGCCAGCTCATTGGAGATGGTGGAGTGACTTTCGCAAACGCGGTGAGTGAAGATTTTGAGGGGTCTCGTGAGATGGTCGGTGTTCCTTTACTAAAGTGAAACATTCTATTGAAAGCAACTGGAGGTTTCACAAGCACCGTATGTGTAAATGCGAAAAATGTATGTCTCGTCCTAAATCTTGCCATATGATCTCTAGCGAAGTAGAGTTAAGGATACCGTGACATGAAAGATGAAACATACGAATATACTACGTCAATACGTTTAAAAAAAGGCATGCCCTGTGTGGAGTCTACTGAAGTTATTCGCATATTACAATTACTGGCTGAAAGCTTCTAGTTGCTATTGATTATCGGCTCATATGATAATGTATCGATATTTTCATGACCCATCTAATGATAGTAGTATCAACACAGTATTGATGCAATCAGAAGATGTGCACTGTTACGCCAAGAACTGGTTCGTTACATTGCGTGTTTTCCATACTACAATTTATGGCAGCATGCAGACATCCATGGTATTGCGGAGAAAGATTACTGACGAATACAAGAAGTTTTTTAACCAATAACTTACTCTTGAATTGTTCGTGTGAAAGAATTCAAGCCAATCAGGCCATCAGGCATACCGAGGACTGCTGACCGCCGGCTACAGGCACTTGCAAGATAAAGACTTTTTGAACTAAGACACAGCGTCTGTTTCTGATATTGGACGCAGTACGTGACGACGCCCCTGTGCTGCCCTAGCCGCTCTAGCATCCTGACGGGTCGGTATGTGCACAACGTTGGAGTCTTCAACAACTCGCTGTCCGGAGGATGCAGCTCGCAGCACTGGCAGCGCGGACCCGAGCGCAGCGCGTTCGCTGTGGACTTACAGAAGGCCGGATACGAGACCTTTTATGCGGGGAAATATCTCAACCGGGTGAGGCTGGCGAATTCGAATGAACTGATGTTCAGACAAGGGTGTGTCGGAAGGGTTGCTTTTGATCATACCGGCTTAATTTTTTATATAGTGGAAAAAAACATTTTGCAAAGACATAACTTTACCACCGTCACTTAAGCATTTAGTGTTAAATTTTTACGGAATCGTGAATGTCGTGGCGAATAGTTTGACTTGATCTATTGTTGCTGTGTCAACTGGAAGCACATGGAGTTTCAGAAGATAAACAAGAACTGAGAATGTTCCTTCTGCGGTTATTTATTAACTCGCTTTATTGTCGCCTCGAAAGCTTAAATGCCATTTCTGTTTTTCACTGCATTTGCCGTTTATAGAGCTACCAGCCTGAGCTAAAAGTCCTACTTTTTTTCAAAAAACAATGAACCTGGGAAAAGCGACTTACTTGAGACGAGTGCACTAACGATCTTATGCAAGTTGTTAATTTATATGTCGCATTGGTTCACACTATATTTTCTAACAAATTCGAAATTAATAACAACCAATAATCAAGTCAAGGAAAGCACAGCGGGTGTTGTTAGTAATTATGACAAAATGTGAATAAATTAAAGTGGACCAATAAATTACTTGCCCCCGGCAGGGGCATAACCCGCAACCTTTGTATAACGCGTCCGATGCTCTACCAAGTCAGCTATGAAGGTGGTCATCATCCCGTGCATTTTATTAGGTATTGTTGCGAATCTCTGTGCTGTTCATCAGTAGTCGCTTTGAATCCCAGCGCTGATCACCAGTTGTTGCAGACCGGGGTCTACCCGACGCTTCTCCGCTTACGTGGGTTGCCGGAACGTCAGGGATACGTCGGACTCGGCCTCTTGTGGTAGCGTGGCGTAACTTAGAGTGGAGGAAACGAACGCTCACAAGATGGGGATACGAAAAACAAACAGGTTTATGGCACTCTTTACACTTATTTACAGAATAGAGAGGTTGAGAGTCTCATGAACCACGAGCGTGGTGGCTGTATCGTTACATGGTTCAGAGCAACATCCAGAACTCTGCGGCGTCGTTATAAACCCTCTCGGGCTCCTCCTCCTTGTTTGGAACAATCACACACACAAGACACCGCCCACAGGGCATCAGTCAGTAACACATGGTCCGCCGAATGGTTATTGCACCTATTGACGCAACGCTCTGTAGAAAATGAAAACGGGGATCTTTCCCGGAACAACTTGGCGGTTGGGTTGCTTCTTCCACCTTTCCCAGGAAGGGCAGCCAAGGAGTGGATACTTCAATCGCGTAGACACAACCTGTGCGGTCGGTCTGCTTTGCCGTCGCGCTAAACAACCCGGCCTGGAGGAATTGCTTGCAGGGACATTGGCTCACGGACGATCTTCTAACCCTTCTGTTGCTCCCCACCGTTAGACGCTGGTTCCGAGAGAACTGGGGTTCCGGGCGTGGGAGCGCAGCCCGGATTGTTTCTCAGCGGTAGCAGTGCGGCTACTGACGTGGGTCACGACAGTTTCCCCCCTCGCCAGATGAGTCATGTAGGGCAGCAGTCACCACTGCTGCTCGAAGGGACGAAGAAAGGGTCCATAGTTGAATGCCAGGAACTCGCCTTCGCTTGTAGCATTGTCTGAGTAATTGCCGAAAACTTCGACAGCACCTCTGAAACTCGATAGCATGCACAAGCAAGCACTCGGCCCCCTTTGAACAAACCAAGCCAAAAGAGGGATGGCAAACCAATTTTCATTACTAGCTTTAACCAAAAACTTACACTCAAAACTGTCTGGACTCACTTGCACTGAGAAACCACACGTGCTACCTTACACATTTCACATAATAGGTTGCACGAAAAAAAAAACAAAAATATCAAATTTGATACACCAAGAGCACCCTTAGATAGCTTAGAAAGAGCGGCTGAGCGCGTCAGCGTTTCCATTCAATTTGCCCTTCTTATACCTATTGTCAAAATGATATTTTTGAAGAATCAAGCTCCACCTCACAAGGCGACTGTTCTTCGATGTCACAGTTTGCAGCCACGTAAGGGGACAAAAGTCTGTCTCTACTTTAAATTTAGCTCTCCTGAGATAACACTGCCACTGATGAATGCCCTACACAAGGCAAGCACACTCTTTTCCTGAAGCGCAGTACGTCATCTCTCGAAAACCCAATTTCTGGCTCAAGTAGAGCGCATCATACTTGTTGTCACTGTCGTCCTGGCAGTATGACACCTAGGCCTCGATATCTCACATTGCACCGGACCGTGCATTCTCGATCGTAAACAGAAGCTCTCAAAACCGGAGGACGATAAGTATTGCCTCTCCTGCCTCCTCTTTTTCATCACTGACTACTTTCATAAGTTGTGTCCCGGGGAAAGCATCGGTCAAGTACGCGAATGCCGAATAAAATTTGGATTCAGCGAGCGCTACTATTGTCCCAACGTCTGTTTTTGTCTACAGCTGCCAATAACTGTCTACTGAGACATTAAGCTATCTAGCTTTCCTGAAACTTTGACCTATGCTGTGGCCAAAATATTATTCGTTTACTGAACATTAGAAAAAAGTTACTGTTTCGCTCATATGATCGCTTAATCAATCGCTCTTAAAGTGAAGCAACACAACATTAGGAACAAACACTGCCTTCTAGTAAGTTCAGGGGGTTAAACTTACCTGCCTATGCCAACGCCTTTGATTAAAAAAAAACCACTGAGCTCTCCTGAGCGTTTTCACTTAATATCCTTCCTACAGCGCTGCAAAACGCACGGCGCAACCAACCAAAAGCTTCAGCTTTCACAGTTCGTCTAACATTCTTACATTACGCTGTTACACCTTATGTACAACACAACAATAATCCTAGGAAAAATCGGCGACTCTCACCGAAGCTCGGGCTTGTCCAAACAAAGTATATGTGCTTTACGAGCCTCTTCGAGTCCACCTTGACCTGTTGACTCGACACAGGCAACCTCCCCTATCAGCGCTAACTGCCAGCCACCGAGACTGCAGTTATTCAAGAGCTATATCGTGGCTCGAGAACATCACACCGCCAAGACTCTCTCCCCCACGTGTTCCTGAGATACCTCCATGGCTCCTGCCTAGACCACTTGTCATACTTCAGATTCTTGGGATAATGAAGAAGTCCCTTGTATCATCGATCGGCCTAAAGCAACTTGCACTGCTGCACATTTATACTATGTACGATGGTGTGGCGCACGAATATACCGAAGGATCTACTACGTCGCGTAACTCCGCCGCAGCCTTTGTCATCCCGCAGATTAAGATAGATCGTCGTTTCAAGATAGATCACAAGACCACATCAACAGCCGCGGAACTTGTTGCTATTCGGGAGGCAATACGTTTCATGTCGACAGAACCCGCTCGTAAATGCACAATACTGTGCAATGCCAAAGCTGCTCTTCAAACCATCGATGGCTTCATGAGACAAGGTTCATATCATACTTTATCGATTGAAACTGCAGAGCTTCTTAACATTGCTACAAAAAATAGACATCATGTAACATTTCAATGAATACCTGCTCATTGTGGCATAATGGGCAAAGAAGAGGCGGACGCTGAAGCTAAGAGAGCTTTAAATAGTGCCCTGGAAGTGTGCATCGCATTTTCTCGACAAGATACTGACATCCTACTTCGACGCGTAATGCGCAACTTCATCTTGGAGCACTGGCAGAAACCAGAACACCAGCACAAGCAGCTGCACAAATGGGACCCGGAAATGAAGTTCCGTATGCCTCAAAAGTTAAAGCGAAGCATCTCATGCATTATCCACCGCATTCGCCTCGGTGTGGCTTACATGAGACGTTACACCCACTTGATTGGTTGTGATGACACAGGTCCCAATTGTGCTGACTGTCTGTTGCCAGAAACGCTCAAACATATATTTTACGACTTTCCAGCATATGCAAGCGAACGTCAGCAACTGATATCTTCGATTGGCCGATATATTAATCGACTATTAATCGATGAGGTTGTGTTAGGTACTTGGCCTGACGCCAGAAGCACACATGTGGTTATACGAGCCATCATCGCTTGCTTAGAAGCCACTGGACTGGATGCACGTCTGTAGAGTTACCAAGCCAAATAAGAACATATCATCTCTCTACCTTACCATCGTCATTCATCAATATTTCACTCCCCAGTCACCCTTCCCTAATGTAGAGTACTAGGCCAGAGCAAACTATAACTCAGGCCGACCTCTCTACCTCTCTGTAAATAAAACCTCTCTCTCTCTTTCTCTCTCTCTCTAGGAAAAATCACCTCAAAAGCACCTCACAACAATCGCACAGGTTTTATGCTAAAACCGTGCACTAGATGTCTTTCAATTCTTACAGCGCGTAACGACAACTCCACGGTGTCATGCCAAGCTTAATCATTTTACGAAATAATTAGGTCTATGTTAACATATTCTTCCCTAAAATGCTCATTCACGCCACATCCACATGACAGTGAAGGCATATGACATTACACTAAACCTATAAAACACTATAAAAATAACACATTTTTTCCAGCTTTTACCTTCTGCACGATTTCGCACTAATTTATTAATCACTTCGATGCTAATTTTCAGCTTTTGGTTTGGGAGTTTTCTTTCTAAAAATTTACTCCACACTACGTAACTTACAAAACTAAAAGGGTTCAAATACGCACCTCCGATGCAACACTCAGTAACCATATTTAACACGCCTGTGCAAAAGTTACTTAAACTGACCGTTTCCCCTTTCTCAACTAGGTTCTTTTGAATCGTACCCGATGGGGTCGTGGTCACCGCAGTTTTCGAGCACGCCAGAACCTACAAAATCCACACACTCTAAGCAGTGCACTGCCGTCACACCTCATTTTACACTTCGGCCTGTTCCCCTCGGGAATTTCAAAGGGACGCCAGAAACAGGGGGAAAATTGGGGCCATTGCCCATTTGTGTTCGCCCTGATGCGTTTTTTTAGCTATTGTGATCTTTCGACGTCGACCCTTCGAGCAAGGTCCCCTTCCTGAAGTTGTCGAACTGAATCGCACCTTTC